TTTGAGTCTACCATCATGAAGTCCCGGAATATCAAGACTGGCATCATGGAAATGCAGATTTGGTGGAATGATTCCTTTTTCCATGGCTAGAATTATTTTGGCAACAGCAGCAACCCCAGCAGTGGGTTCCGGGTGACCCATGTTTGATTTAACAGAACCAACAAGTAGAGGGTTGTCTTTGTTTCTATTTTTACCAAAGACATCAACAATAGCATTGATTTCTTGTGGGTCACCGACCTTTGTACCCGTTCCATGAGCTTCAACGTAAACAACATCTTTGGGATCAATGCCTGCTTCTTTGTAAACTCTGTGTATGAGTTTTTTCTGTTCAATTCCAGACGGAAACGTAACACCTGAAAAAAGTAATGCATTCTTCTAATAGTCATGTTGATGTTACCATGGCAGGCATATATTGAAAGAACCATACTATATCAGTTTGTGTTATACACAACTGCGTTATTAAAGAGTGATTTTGTCATATGATCAATTGTCAGTTAAATTGTCATTGCTCAGATGTCAGTGGCTACAGTTTATTAATCTGGGTTGTATTTGGTTGCAATTTAAAACAGGTGAACACATACATATTGAATGTATACAAACCCACCTTGTTCTTTATAGCCGTCACTGTTAGTTCCACCGTGGATAACAGTTGAATATACTCTCTTAGCATTAGAGGACCTCATCATTAGGATTGCAACACAACCTTCAGATCTACAATAGCCATTACCTGAAGTAAAATCGTAAACATGTCATCTTTATTTACAGACTAAAGTTGGGTCATTTCACAATTGACTATTGACTTACCATATTTGTACATCTATATGCCAAGCAAAATAAATGGATTACCCTAGTAATGGTGCGTGAATCTGGTTAGTTCTTTGTGCCGTGCATATTATTAACCAAATTTACATAATGGTATCTCGAAAATTAGTCATTAGATTTAAAAAATATGTAATACTTTTTTTACCTAAATTGCATACATTAGGATTTTTTCTAATATCTAAATTATTACTTGCACATATCAGCAGTACTAAGTATAAGTTTATTGCTGTATGCTATGACCAATATTTTTTATCATTCTGATGTTATGGAGATTCATTGGCTATAACGTAGGGGGCAGTGGATATTTCCGTATAGCCGTATAGCCCGAGCCACTGTGTGGGGCGCAAGTAACGCAAATCAGAGACTGGGCGTGGGCATAAATGAGGCGAATGTGAAACAGTCACCAAAACCAAATGCATAAAGCGCGTTGAAGAGAAATCTATGATATATTCTATAAAATGCATTTTCTTGGTCTAGGGGAAGAATGACCAGAGGTGAGCTGATTGGCATAGTCAATGCTGCCATGTGGGATATTCAAAAATAATATTATTTCGAGCATCAATGCCAATGTCATCAGGTGTGTACAGGTTTGATTTTCAGGAAACGTGTTATCTTGACGTCTGAAATATCGCATTTTTATTGCCATTCTTTTTCTCTAATTGAAAAAATAAAACACATAACGCGTAGCAAGACAAGAGTGTTCGTGTTTCAAGTTAACGAGACGTTCTTTTTTTTCAGTAGCTGTTCGAGAGTGGTGCATTATGGGTAGTAGTGCGTTCACTAACAAAAAAATGTTTTGTTTTAGTATTGTATTGTACAACACTTACCTTGTATATCAAATGACTTGCACTGTCCCTCGGGGGACAGCATACCAAGCTTCATAAACTGCACTGATGTATTGGGTTTGACATTTATATTAAGACCAGCTACAATGGCGGCATCACACTGACCACTGCGGATAGCTCTCAATGCATGTTCCATTGCAAGTAAACTGGATGAGCAGGCTGTATTTAGCAGATAACTTGGCCCTGCATGGATTAAAATATTGACTAACACACTTTATTCACAAATAGTCGCCGAGCAAGATGACTTGTTTTCTACCGCCATTGCGTGTAATGTACTTTGATGGTAGCAGGGATGTGTACACTTGCGTCACCCGCTCTCATATGATGAAAATTGAATGAATGCAATGAATCAACACATAATTTTTTCCAGAAATTAGCATGAAATATGTTAGGTTAGAGTCAAAGAAACAATCTATTTTCAGAAATATAAAATCCCTTGCAGCTATTCCGCTCATTCTCACAAAATATATTAAATGAACGAGTATGCTACAATAACGTCTGTGTGCTGCTTGTTAAATTCTGATCAAGGGCATATTCTACATTTGAATTAAATTTGCATGCGAGTCATTTGACAATAATATTTGTTATCCTAAAGAAAAACGTTTACATCCTGTGATACAAATGTGATATCTTTGTTATCAGAAATATGTATTGATTTAAATAATAAGATTTGATACTCACCCTTGAAGTCAAAGAAATAGGATATTCTATTAGCAAACATAGCGGGACAACAACCAGTCATGCTGTAACCAAGTAATGTATCGGCGTCACCGGCGAGTGCTTCAAATGTCTCCGAGCCGTTAGCACCAACAAATACACCAGTATTGGTGCCTCTCATTATTTGGGGGTCAATACCTGACACAAATAAAAATAAACTTTGTCATTAAGAATCAAATGTATTACGTCCAAAAAACAAATGAATATGGTTGCTTGTCTGTGAAGGCAGTAAACATACCTGCATCTACTATTGCTTCATAAGTTAACTCCATGAATATTCTTAGCTGCGGATCCATAGTGTTTGCTTGTTTTGGATGAACACCAAAGAAGGAAGCATCAAATCTACTTAGATCTTTAATTTTGCCACTTTTCCTTGGTAAGCCATGGAGACCTTAAATGTGACACAGAAATCATCACTCATTACCGTTAAACTTCATATTATTTACAGCGAACCCCGACCTAAACTGATCATAGTTTTCCTTTCAACATTTTCAATATTTCTTTGAACATCTTTGGTGTTGTTTGTCATGACTTCAGCAGTTTTAATAATGAAAAGCTGGCGCTCCTAAATATAACAATACAACAAGGGTGCTGTGTGGTAAAAACAACAGGAAAAATCGTGGGATGTTCGATATGCGTGTTTTAGTTCCAAACGGTTGAAGATAAAGCTAAAACAAACAACGCTAGCTTATTTTTTTCATTTTATTCGCGTTACCTAAATTCAAAATTCCATTATGACTATGGCTGGTCCATCATAAAATTATAACTTTGAACTTGGCATTGCCATGGGTATATCGGAATCACGTTGCAGCTGTGCTCTTTGCATCGTAGGCAATGTTTCTCTGCGTTGAGCCCCTTTCCATCCACTTAACGAGAATGCAGTAAAAATCGTTTATAATGAAACAAATGAATGTTTTACATTCCAACAGTTGAAAAGCAAAGTCATAACAAGGATTGCCAACTATGTTCATTGTAACATTGCAATGGACATTTTATGATCAGTTCATTTCGGTTCCTGGTGTTAGTAACTTTCTTTCATGAATATTTACGACTGATGAAAATGTACTTACCTGGTTCCCATCTTCTGTTATCTTCTGTTACCATGTCATCTTTGTTGATGAGATGTTGCCAGAATTCCTCCAAGTTATCAGATTCTGGCAACCTGCATCCTACACCGCTAATGACAACGTCATCCATATCCGTTTCCATTACTCGGAAATAGGGTAGTTAAAATACTCGGTCAGTTGACAAACTAAAAAAAAACTGAATAAATTCAGAGATTACTTGCGAATAACACAGTTTCTTACAGATACATTGTTGCGATATTTTGTTTCATTGATAACCAGTATTGCTCGATGTATAGAAATGTTGTTAGCATAAAGGAGGTTATCAAAATTCAAACCAGCGGAGCTCCACGCAATATGCAAATTAAAACGGAAATAAATTTCCAAATTAAAATCGAACTTTAGTGGATCGGACTGAAATAAAATCTCGCACTTTGACTCCAAAACGGAACTATGCGATTCTGCTTAATGTAGGTCAGAAGTTCAAACACCTGTCGGCGACTTTCTTTAAGTCACGTAATACTACTGTTTCCATGGCCACATTTGTCGCTTTCAAAACATTATGAGATGTACAATTTCGTTATACTTACATATATAAAATAACAGACAACTAGAAACTGTTTGCATAGATAATTTGTTTGTTTGTGTGTCAAAAATGAATGCGATCTAGCGATATATATCAGTAGTGTTTAACTGAGAGCAAGATCAATAATTTTCATATTTACTAAAATGTCGTTCATATTTTACTGACACACTTCAGCAGACTGTCAAACATTAACTAAAATTATAAAATGTAGATTAAAAAAACAAACATAACAATTATTCATAACATCGCGACTACGCAACTTTGATAAAACGCTGGATCGGCGGTACGCAGTTTCCAAAATATTAACAATGCCATTACGCCCGTATTATACAAATATTCACAGCTATAATTATAGTGGTTTTTAATTTACGGGTAAGTAAAACGAAATTACATTAACAGATGTGACTGGTAACTGTTACTATAAAAACCTTAGCACACCGTTGGCAGGCCAGTAACACTGGTTCTCACTACAAGAGGTTACGACCCCCCTGCCAACTGCTAACAACAACTGAAACATATATATACATATTTACATGAAATATTGTCCACCTATGCTATAATCTGTTCGTGCAGGAGTGTTACGACCGTGTGCCTTTACTAACGTCAACCAAATGTATTATGTGGGAAGTTGGCACCCAAGGCTGACAGGTACTACACCTTGCCCAAGTTAAGGTTGACCTCATTCTCCTAATTACAAAAACTCCGGGTGCAGTTTTAACGTCATACTCAGGACTTATTTCGTGAACATAAACTCAACAGCATTTACCAACTGAATTGTAGTACATGTACTAGTAATCCGATCCATTGTCTAATTAAAAAAGAGCGCCACCACACGCCCACGTCAGTTCAGACTGTTGTAATTGGTCAATAAGTTTATAATATGTATATTCTGATTTAATTCTGCTGGTCACACTGTTTTTGAAATTCCCAAGCGTATATGTGGGACCGTGACCATCCCGTTTATTGCGACGAATGATACGAATGGGGATTTTTGCAGCACAAATTATATAAAGAAAGATATTTTCACATTGTCGGGATAAAAACTTGGGACAGCTGTGGGGCGGTAGCACAACAAACCACCATGACGGAGCTGACACATCTGGCTTCAGGAGCCCGGATCCTATACGGTTGATGAGGCCGCAAAGAGCGCCAATTTCCTGACATTCCAGGAAAATATGTGACAGAGAGTCAAAATCTTCGCAGAGTGGACATTTGTCAGAAGTCGTAAAATTGGAGTGCTTGAGGAAACTGGTAGTTCCATGTATGATACGCCACTGCAAGTCACCCTCAAACTGTGTAATTGGCAATGCATAACTGTCTTTAAAATTAGGTTTGAAATCAGTAGGTGGACTGAGTATGTTTCACCAGACAATGTCCGATTTATATTGAGAACCATAACACATATTTATATGGTACAATAAATAAAAAAAGAATAGAAAAATACATACAGAGGGATTCCTTTAA